AATATTCCAACTGGGGTCTGATCAGCGCCGCATACAACGGAAGAATAACGCGCGAAGTCCTACTTGCAACTGAACAACGACTGTAACCTAGAATCCTGTTGCATTTGGCCACCGTTGCTCGCGAGGAAAATTAAAGTCATCGACATAGAAAATTCCGAAATCTCTCGCTTCCCCCAGTTTTACCTTGCCGAACGTGTCGAGAGACCTACCGTTGTTTCGTCCGAAGTGGAGAACTTTGCACTTATTATTATTAAGCCTCATGAGCCATTTCTTGCTCCACTCGTCCAAAATACTTAAATCTGGCTCGGCTCTAGCCCTAGACTCTTAGACAAATGGGATGTTTCTCAAAAAAGAGAGTGAAATCGTTGACTCTAGTTTTACTCCCCTTTCATTCCGGGAGAGGAGCGGATTTGCTCCATCATTAAGGAGTAAAATTGTTCTCCTACTCCATGAGTATAACAAATGATGAAATGTCCGTGTTTATCGATTCCTATAATGAGACAAGGCGAGATATATGTCGAGGCACTAAACAATCTTGTGAGGGACGATTCCAGGGAAAAAGGGAAGGGAACTTAAGTGTAATGTACGAAAAGCGAGACCCTTACCTCCATCTAGTGGCCTGGCGAAGAACTTCAAGGAGTTCACTTCAGTACGAGCGATGAGGGAGAATTTGGTGAGTAATGAGAGAGTATATCTGAAAAGCTTCCCTTTTTACTCCCTAAGCGCTCAGAATTTTGTAAGAGTGTATCCGCCTCCCCCCTTATAGTAAAACCTATCTTGGTGTTGTCGGCAAATTTACTCATTTTACCCTCTACGCCGTGATCCAAATCGTTTATGTAGACCAAAAACAGAAGCGGTCCAAGGACCGGGGCCTTGAGGAAAACCCCTTGCGTCTCCCACCTCCTTCGACGCTTCCCTATGTATCACCACTCGTTGCTCTCTTCCTGTCAACCAGCTACTGATCCACTAACTCGTCCTACCCTGGATCCAGTGGGCCTCCAGTTTAACCCACAATCTCATTTGAGGAACGACATCGAAAGCTTTCGCGAAATCTAAATATAACATGTCCACGGGATTACCCTTACTCCTCTCTTCTGTCTCCCAATCCTAGAATTCGAGCAAATTGGTGACAATTTCGACTGCTCCTAAAGCGCTCTTGAGAGTCCAGAATGAGCGCATTTCCTCCGGGGAAATGCAAGAGATGGTCCCTCCAGATGCTCTCCATGATCTTCCCTGTGATACTCGTGAGACTTACCGGCCTGTAATTCCTTGGATTACTCTCATCGCCCTTCTTAAAGATCTGTACGACGTTCGCTAGTCTCCAGTTTTTAGTTATTTCCCTGCGCGAAAAATGCTTCTAAATATATTTCTTAACCGAACCGATATTTCTTTCGCGGTTTCCTTGATGACTCTCGCAGGAATTCCATCGCGTCCGGTCGCCTTGCTCATCGTTAACTTCCCTATCATACTAGCGATCGTCTCCTCGGTGATGGACATATGCTCGATGCACGCCGAGGTCACGTCCTCCAAATTCGGTGTTATGTCGGATTCGACAGTGACAACGGAAACGAACAACTCGTTAAGTATCCCGTCCATATCCTTATTACTTGCAATCGACTCCATCTTTTCGTTCATATCGTTCATCAACTGCTGACACCTACCACTAGCATACTGATGAAAAGCTTTGGGGTTCTTAGCATCGCTAGCCAGCCGTTCCTCTCTCCCGTCTCGCAGATCTAATTTCCCGCTTCAACGTCCTCGTTATTGTCTTAGATTCCTCATATGTCCGTTTTATCTGTGTCTTATTCTGTGCGCTTGTACGTGTCACGGGCACGGGACGCTGCGGTAGGCTGTTACTTACCGAAAAGAAATAGTTATTCATTTTCGCTTCCTAGCGTTCCGCGCCTAACAACTATTCTTTTAAAATTCATTATTTCAATTAGGAGGAAAGGTTCCTGCCTGATCACGGCCGAGAAAGGAATATACAATAAAGGAGATATGATACCTTGGAAAACTCATGTGGAAGCACTTATTGCTTGATACGAAGCACGGAACAAAGAAAAGAACGGGAATTAATTAAGCTCCTGGAAAAAAGGAGGACTGCTTGGATTTTCCGACAAAGCAGTCTTCATGAAGCATTCCGTCATTCAATACTGAAACTCACGAGGGCTGCTTTTTCTTCGAGATCAACACTCTTACTTTTCCCGCGACCCATGTTGGCAAAGAATTTTCATTAATTACTCTGTATTTGAAGCAAATTTAACAACAGCAACTTTGGGGAATGTTCATTAAAACGGACGATAGAAGTGCCTAATATTCAGAGAGGATTTTTGTAATGCTTTCCCTCCAGTTCTTACTCCCTATATTTCTAGTGTAAGTTCACGCAATTTCGTACGACCGGATGCGGAACCCAGATAACAATTCGAATAGCAGCTGCAGATAATTAAAATTCTTTCCTTTGCAAAAAAAAAAACACAAAAGAAACCATTTACTTGAATTATAAGCCTTTTATGGTGGCGTGAACGGGAAAATCCAATAGGATGCTGGCAACCAGGCTCTCATATATCATGTCCTTTCGAACTAGAGATGTTTTAAAGGAAGATCAAAGATTCACTTCATTTCATCCATTTGAATCTATCCCTGTTAGCCCCATCCGAATTTGAAATCCTTCGGTCCCTATGTTATTCCCTTCTTCACACCTAACAATAAAAAAATAACCATATAACAATTTAAAGTACGTTGGAAATAGAAATACACGTACAAAAACTTACGGCCTCGTTCACCAACATTTTAACGCTTTTTTCACCTAATATTCACCTGAACAGCTTTAGGGAGGTGGAGAAAGGGCGAAGAAGTAAGGAACCTCCGATTTTTATACGAAACTAATGGAAAGTGGACTCCTCCTCAAGCAAGATCTTCAGAAGAGGTAAGACTGAAAGGTGAAATTCCAGTAAACCTATGGGAAGTTTCGCATGGCATCTTCGCTCTTGTCTTTTCTATCCTTGCGAGAGGCGTTCTCAAGTCTTGAGCAAGCAATGCATGGAAAAAAAATTGCAAATAATATATTGGTATGAATATATTGTGCAAATCATTCTTGGAGCATAACAACCATATGGCTGATGCGATAAACATATGTTACTCATTGCCTCTGTGCTAATGTAACACCCATCATATAAGGTGAGAATCACATCACAGTATTCTCGAAAGATGAGGAAAGTCAGGAGTGAAATTAACCTTGTTGGTGAGAAAACATACTGATGAAAAGTAAATGCAATATGCAGGCAAGGCACAGGTGAAAAGGGTAGAGCTGCAAAATGGAGGTATTATAGGTAAAAGAGAGGTAAATGAGAGGATACCGGAAGAATTGGGATGGTGATAAAAGCAATGGATGGAAATCAGTAACAGATGGTAGCAAAAAATACTAGGGAAATCCTCTTTCCCTTTTTTTCACCTCAGTTTCACCGTCCGAAATATTCCTAAAGTAAACAAATTATCTGCAAGAGTAGGAGCGTAGTTTCGGAGAGTATGGACCATCACTCATTCGTTCATGAGTTCATCGACATGATCTCCTCGATCCAGTGAACAAACCTAATGGGAAGGAAAACCAATAGGTTTTGCTATCAGGAGGAACATCCAAAACAGAATCAAGTTAGAATATTTTTAAAGATTTCATTAATGCCCTTTTTACTATAGGTGAATTTAAGCGTGCAAACTTGCTAATGTTCCTTTAAATTTTTCATTGACGGTGGAAATGAATAAATATAGAGGGATAAGTCTATAACATGATTAAAATATATATAAAAAAGGAAACAATGTTTCACGCCAAGGACACGTTGAAAAGAACATGGGTATATTACCCACAGCTAAATTTCAATTTTTTGTGGGTACTTGGAAACCACGTTAATAAGCTAAGCAAATCAATGTATTTATATTTTTCTTTGGAATGTTCAAAGAAGGATACAAGAAGCTCTTAACAAGTGATTATTTGCGAGGAGTTTCTGTCAAATAATACCATCATGCATCATCTTGAACACGCGTTATCTATTAATTTCCATGGCTTTTTTGAGACAACTGAACAAAGGAGCAGCATCAAAGCATTTCTCACTTATTGACTCTAGTGAATACACCATACTGGCCAGGTTCGTAATTGGAGCAATTTTGTCCCGACTTCTCATAGATATGACTGACAATTCCTTCGACCACCCATTGACTTTTCATGAGGCTATGAGATGGGAAGACCATGGGACTCCCCGAATCCCCTCCACACACTGTCCTGTATTCTACAAGAGAAAAATAAGGTCACCAACATGCTTGAATTTTCGAAAATTTCTTAAATCCCAGTGATAGAACACTTTTGGGTCTCGCGGTCGATTATATTCCGAGCCGCACAATATAAAATATGATTTATTACTTGTACAACAGGACTAAAAATTAATTCCATTCTGCAAGCCACGCATCTTTCTTGTAATCACTTTCACATGCCATGGAGAAAATAATTGAAGAGGAGAGGCATACACTCATAGAAAAGAGTGCGACATCAGAGAAAGGGAGCGAAACCGGCGATTTTACTCACTAAAATCAAGGAAGTGCCATCGATAACTACTCCATTGTATGAGCTGTATCCAGAACTTTTTTACTAGCGCGAAACGAAAAAGTGAAAATACTTTTCAAACTAGTAGGAAATGTTAAGGGTTATTCACAGGAAAGGGAGAGGTGAGCGGCATTACTTTATTGTTTTTAGGGAATAAAATCGCTAGCACAAGTTTCACTCTCTTTCATCGAAATTGTTCATTCTTTTCAAAGAGTGTACGCGATTGAAATGATAGGGATTGGAGTGTTTGGAATGAAACCTTTTGCATGCTTATTCTCAAATGAAGAGGAATAGTTGCGTTCTCCCGCGCAAAATGTGTTCCTGGAGATGGAAAAAGGGTGATTTCTCGTGATTTCGGCAATTTTACTTCGGCATTCACGCTGTGGTATGACTGTCAGCTGCACCTCAGTCAATACATCTGTTCCCCGGTCTGAAGCGTCTCTTCCCCAACCTGCCACCTGGCGTTAAACCGATAATAATAAAAAAGACACAACAGAAAAATGAGGCATCCGAGTGATGGTGTCTTACCTCTCCTCGGTAAGGACCGCCAAATGTATCTCGTACACCATCCAAAAATTCATCAGACAGTTCATCATTGGACGGCAGACAGATCAATTGAACCCATTTCGTGATATTAGCCGAATCGTGGAGTTTCATCAGAGCAATATCTGACTCCAAGCCGGTGTAATTGTCATGCACCATGATCTGAGTCACCTACAAACAATAGGGAATCTTCCACCATCAAGGATCAAGAATGTATTTTTGCATGAAGGTAACATGAAATGCATTTGGAGTAAACCTTCATCTTTTGCACGACTTCATCGTCCATGGACATATTTCGATGATGCTTGCCGAGATAGACAAAGAAATCATTCACATCTCGAACTGCAATCGTGTCGTCGCCGTCTACGACGCAATGTGCTGCCGTGAGAACCCATTGGCTTCCAATCAGAGCTCCTCCACAAATGATATCTTTCACCTGCGCATTGTTATCGTAGATGGCCGCTTGCCAAGGCCAAGCCTCAGGTGCTGCTTTCTTTCCTCCACGAACCAATCGCTGAGCGGATGCACCCTTTTTTTTAATTAGGCCGCACTCTAGAAGAGCAGGGGAACCCACCAGTCTTTCCGTCATCGTACAATTAATGCAGATAATTTAATCGAATTCTCCATATACACAGACCAGGTTCACAGAGGGGTTCGGGGCCAGTCCATTCTCCATTCTCTCCACATGTCCGAACACGTGGGCCCCGACGAGTATAAAACTTTCTACATTTGTAGTTCACTTTACTTCCCCTGAGGTAAATGCCATCTTGGATGCATTCTGTTCCATTTTTGGAACTGAAAGAAATACGAGCTTTTGTAAGTAGCCAGTAATAACGTTCTGACGTTAGAGGAGATTTGGGTGAACATTATTATATATGGCAGCGTTGGTTCGTGGTAATGTTCTCATTACATGCTACATGGTATATGGAAAAAAAAATTATTTCTCTAGCACAACCGATGTTTCATTCTAAAACGGACACAACAAGTTTCAACCCCCTTATTGATCAAGCGAGCAAATACGTAAATTTGTGATAACAATAGTATTTCTTATCTGATGAAGTTGGGGGGGGGGGGGTGAATTCCTCCTATGCATAGAAAACTAGGGAACATGGTTTAATATCCTTACCTCCGGTCACCATTAGAACATGAAAGGACATTGAAGCGTCCGTATTTGATGCGAGGAGGTGGTCCACAGCCTGTTACCCCTGCCTACAACCAGCAATGATATTCTTCAAATTATGTTTTATCATACTTGATTTGTTACGGCTTCATGCTATGCATGACCGAATATAAACGTACATTTCCATGACGAGGTGGAGTTAATGCACCGGAGCTGATGCAGCAGACTTGAGTCTTTCTCGGACAGATGTACGACGTGTCAAGAGTACCTTCATCGCACATACCAGGATGTTGCAAGTCGATGCATCTTAGACCGCCTACGACGTTGGGACACTGAGAGCGGCATGGACATAATATTCTCGAGCTGGGACATTTATTCTGCAATTCCGTCAAAATGAGGCTTTGCAAACGTGTCCCATTTGCGCATGCCCCGCCTACTTTTTTTAGCAATTCGGGAGAGAATGCCAACCAGGATAAATCACAGCCACACTGGATGGGATTGTCTGGAAAGAGGAGAGCGATGGTAGGAAAAAAAAAGGAAGACAAAAATGAATAAATAAACAGGAAGCATTAGGACCGTTCTGGCACTCACTTTCTAGATAGAGAAAACCGTCTCCTTGGGAAAGATCCGACAGGATCCCCTGAAAATTCCTTCCATCAATTTTAGTTATTTTGTTATATTGAAGGTTGATAATCGTGTGAGCCCAAAGACCTGGAATAGATGTGGAAAATACTCTGCTTTGATTTGAAATAACAAAATGATTTTATTAGTAGCTTTCCCCCCAAAAAATGTTAATGCGGAATTTTTCATTTCTCACATTTAAAGTTTCCATGAATCAGGCACACTCCACGGACATGGGTCATAATTCTCAAAATGTGGAGTTCTATATTGGATGACAATTTCAATATGCAAATAACATTTTTCAGATTGCACAGACCGCACGGACGCTGTACTCAAATACGATGCACCAATAATGTAATTAATTCAGGAAAAAAAATTCTAGAAATTGTTGTTCTCTTTACCTGTTCAACTCCATTTAACATTAGTCACGAGTAACCTTTTATATTTATCACTTTCTGAAGGTAGATTCAAGTACATAGAAGTCCTGACGTAACCCGTGCTGTAAAATGGAATTTAATTTCAATTCGATTTTTCTTCACTCCTAAAAAGCAGGTCCTCCTTTCTGAAACTTGGCTTTACGAGATTTCAAGCTTTCAGATGTAGCATGACTCACGAAAACGCCAACTATATTTTTGCTCTTTATGAAGCTGTAAGAAAATCTAAGTAATATTATTTGCGAAATGTCAGTGTGCCAACCTTGCTGTTTTCCATTTCTTACTTTAGGAAGTGGGAAAGCATCGGCACTTTAATGTCTTCATGTTTTTACAATGTGACATAAGACACACAGGATTGACTCTGTTGTCTGCTACATCTTTGAGGCAATACGAAAACGCCATCTATGTGGTATACCACTGATGAATTTCTAAATGTACCATGGGTCAGAATCAGGATCAGCCTCACTCCCAAGAGGAGCCCATGAAACCCATAGAGCTCTTTCAAATTCTCGAACTCTTTCACCTGACTGCAGTTCACGAGATTCAAATTTTGCTAGTTTTTCCTGCGGCTCGTGGATTGAAAGCATAAATTTCCCGAACAAAAGCATGATCGGTAGAAGAGGCAGCAACACCACCAGCACCATCTACCTTTTGTGAATCTTTCGATTTTGCAATTTCTTCTTCCTTGTCTAACATTATGATATATATGAAAGCCTCTCCAAAAAATATAACAAACTCGAATAAGGAAAGCGGGCCACTAGCCCTATGAAATATGTAAGTGGCTGTGGGTTAACATATTACTATGAATAAATATCTCGATTTAATTCACTGGCCAACAATGAAAAAAAATGAACAACGCTGCCACCAGTTGTCGTGTGGAGGGCCTTATGAGTGGACTTTTCACGTTAACTTTAGGCCGAAAGGAAGGGATAGATAATTTTGCACGAGCGGGTAATCGGAGGCAAAAGGAAGGGTCCAGCCTCGCACAACAGACAGGACAAGCCGTCTAAGGAGACGCCTGATGACAAATAATAAAGCGGTGTTCAAACAAGGACAACAAATATTTAATTAAAGTTAAATTAGGAAAGAAATGAAGTATCACAAATGGAGGTGTTGAGGAGGACTTGAATAGAGACTATCCGCAGACAAGTCTGTCACACGACGGAGAGAGCAGGCACGGTGTCAGACGACAGAGGAGAGACGAAAAGTTGAGCAACCGACCGCGTCGTGAGACGGCAGCCAGGAGACAAACGAACACACTCGACCTCAAAGCCTGGAGACGAAGGGCGGCGTGACCGGCAGGTCACACCCCCAAAAATACAATCGAGGGCTACGCGGGCCCATCCTTGACATGGGCAAACCCCATGCATGGCCGGGAACGAAATGATGCCCCACGGGAGCCACAAGGCTCTAATCCACATATATAATACGCAATTTACCGAATCACCTAACCACGAGGGAGAAATGGTGTGATGGTGAGAGTGGTCTCATATTGATTGTCATGGTCTAGAACCTTCCACAAAAAATATAATGTGCTAATTTATTATTTAATTTAAAAGTTAATTAATTTATTTTATCGATGCTACCTTTTTAGTGCTCTCACTTGGATTGGACTAGGCAGTCTCTTCTATGTCAACAATGCCCTTTACATTTGATTGCTAATTGAAAATTTCTTACTGCTAATTAACAATTATTCATGAGGGAAAAACTTCCAACCCGTCGAATGGTGCACGTGATAAGTCAATCACGAGCTCTTGATTAGTCGATTGCGATGGTGTGTAATTTAGTTGCGAAAAATGAGAAAATAAGTAGTAATTTTAATGTGTAGTCACGTTGAACGGAGGGCGAGACTGCCGTTTTCGTTGGAACAGAAACCCTTATGTGCGGTGATAGGGAAAATATATGTATGACCTGTGTTCTGTGGAGTAATGGTATCGCACCGAACCAAGATAATAGGAGGCTCAGGTTCAAGCCCTAGTCGTCCCCTATATTGTTTTCGCCCAGTCCTGGCATCTTCCCCTACCTACCTGCGGGTTCATGACATATGCCCCAACGAAAAACTCAGCTCTCGAACTTTTTCACGCAGTGATTTTGCGCTTTTGCTATATACACTTACTAGCCTCAAAGAAAAGAGGAAGAAGGCACATCAAGCGAGCCGCATTCCTTCTATGTGTGGCCGAAAGCGCGAGAAAGTGAACCTATTTTGTAGGATGATGGGTCAGTTTGATTAGAAATTAATCGCGGTCAAAGACAGTTACCCTTGCTGACCCAACTCACCCATCATTCCACAGAATAGGTTGACTTTCTCACTCTTTAGCCTTTCACTGAACTCAAGGGAAAAAAAATGTTGAGGTCCACAAAACTTGCCTGGGCCATGAAGGGCCTCACCAGAATAACAAAGACTAAGCCAAAAAGGCGTAAGCAAACTTGACTCGAGTACAGTGCGCATGCACGGGAAGGTAGGAGCACAGCTAGCAGACACAATAGCCTCTGCGAGCTGTGGAACATCCCTGTTCCAGAATGTCCATGTAGAACGTAACCATTATATAAATTTATTAATATTATAGACTAATACCTTTCGGCTTTCTTTCGACTAAAACATATATCCCTGTAACATATTCATGCAGTATTTTCATCCGAAATATATATCTTACAACATTCTGCGGGTAGTCCACTTCACCACAATCATTACGTTCCGGCAGCCACTTCAGGCGGATGAAGAAAAAGACCGTCTGATAGCGTATTGGCCTGCACCAAACAATTTGTTTAGTGCAGTCGAAACAATCAAGTTGGCAATCAGGTTTATTACAAACTTAATTGCCCACCGAGCTGCCCGCCAAATTCGCGCGTCAGATCGATCCAATAGAGTTTATCCGCATTCGTGTCTAGCTCAAAATCATCCCCTTTATCCTGTGCCTGGGTGTTCGAAACTTCGTGCCTCACTTGACTGGTACAAGGCGGGTATGACTGAGAATTTGTATACATCCAGTTGAGAGTTCCCTGATGACATGAGGCATCCCCTATTATTCATCCAAAGTGTGGCACTTTGAAATTCGTACATTATCCGGTTAATAATTTATTTTGTTACTGCTAATTACAAATTAGACCCGAGTCTGTTGAAACGTTGTTACCAGCGAAGCGGATCCGCGGGAAGCAGGTGTAGTTTAGTATGGTTATATCCTCATATGACACATTCATAACTGGAAGACGCCTTCTCGCGTCTAGAATTACTAAAATTATGATTATTGTGATATGATGAGGAAGTGGTATTGCTTGAAGATTCGTCATGTTAGCAGCTAAATGTGTCGGGTAGCGTCCAAAAAGAAGGGGAAGTATAAGTATTGCAGGAGCTGCATCAGTATTGGATTTCGATGTGGTCATTATCCGTCATTATCACGCGGAAGTTGTAAGATATATATTTCGGATGAAAATACTGCATGAATATGTTACAGGGATATATGTTTTAGTCGAAAGAAAGCCGAAAGGTATTAGTCTATAATATTAATAAATTTATATAATGGTTACGTTCTACATGGACATTCTGGAACAGGGATGTTCCACAGCTCGCAGAGGCTATTGTGTCTGCTAGCTGTGCTCCTACCTTCCCGTGCATGCGCACTGTACTCGAGTCAAGTTTGCTTACGCCTTTTTGGCTTAGTCTTTGTTATTCTGGTGAGGCCCTTCATGGCCCAGGCAAGTTTTGTGGACCTCAACATTTTTTTTCCCTTGAGTTCAGTGAAAGGCTAAAGAGTGAGAAAGTCAACCTATTCTGTGGAATGATGGGTGAGTTGGGTCAGCAAGGGTAACTGTCTTTGACCGCGATTAATTTCTAATCAAACTGACCCATCATCCTACAAAATAGGTTCACTTTCTCGCGCTTTCGGCCACACATAGAAGGAATGCGGCTCGCTTGATGTGCCTTCTTCCTCTTTTCTTTGAGGCTAGTAAGTGTATATAGCAAAAGCGCAAAATCACTGCGTGAAAAAGTTCGAGAGCTGAGTTTTTCGTTGGGGCATATGTCATGAACCCGCAGGTAGGTAGGGGAAGATGCCAGGACTGGGCGAAAACAATATAGGGGACGACTAGGGCTTGAACCTGAGCCTCCTATTATCTTGGTTCGGTGCGATACCATTACTCCACAGAACACAGGTCATACATATATTTTCCCTATCACCGCACATAAGGGTTTCTGTTCCAACGAAAACGGCAGTCTCGCCCTCCGTTCAACGTGACTACACATTAAAATTACTACTTATTTTCTCATTTTTCGCAACTAAATTACACACCATCGCAATCGACTAATCAAGAGCTCGTGATTGACTTATCACGTGCACCATTCGACGGGTTGGAAGTTTTTCCCTCATGAATAATTGTTAATTAGCAGTAAGAAATTTTCAATTAGCAATCAAATGTAAAGGGCATTGTTGACATAGAAGAGACTGCCTAGTCCAATCCAAGTGAGAGCACTAAAAAGGTAGCATCGATAAAATAAATTAATTAACTTTTAAATTAAATAATAAATTAGCACATTATATTTTTTGTGGAAGGTTCTAGACCATGACAATCAATATGAGACCACTCTCACCATCACACCATTTCTCCCTCGTGGTTAGGTGATTCGGTAAATTGCGTATTATATATGTGGATTAGAGCCTTGTGGCTCCCGTGGGGCATCATTTCGTTCCCGGCCATGCATGGGGTTTGCCCATGTCAAGGATGGGCCCGCGTAGCCCTCGATTGTATTTTTGGGGGTGTGACCTGCCGGTCACGCCGCCCTTCGTCTCCAGGCTTTGAGGTCGANCTCCAAAACTAGATGCTTTCATGGACAGGCAAAAAGGTGGGGGGCAATGTTTACGGAAGTACTAGACGGTAAGCAACTAGGATAGTAAGAAAAAAAAGCAAAACAAAACAAAACAAAACAAAAATACAAAAATATATACCTTTAAGAGGGTTAAGCCTACCCTAAAATTAAGGAGCGCTCGACCTCGACGCGTGATATCGAAATGGGCGAAATCGCTTCTTGATATCACTAATTCTCCTGACTCCTGACTCCTGTCTTTCAATATAGAATTAATATATTGTCTTATTTTCCGAAATGTGACCGCTAGAACCTGGTAAAGGAGATGTCACAAAACAGAGAACTGAAGAAATTGAGGACGATATTTTACGCATTATCGATGAAACACAAATATCCCCTACTCACCATTACCTTCCTTTGACTTGGAAACAGGAAGTCCTTCAGACAATCTGTCGCTATTGAAGGCTGGAAGTGAGGTCAAGGAATTGTGGTCAAGAATGAGTATCCTCAATTTGGGAGTTGCCCATTTGTCGAACTCCACTTTCGTGATTTTATTTATTCCGAGGTCGAGTTCTTCCAGGCTATCGCTCTTGAAGTCTTGAAGTGAGGTCAACGCATTTCCTCTGAGCCAGAGTTTCCTTAATTTGGGTGTTTCCCATCTATTGAACTCCACAATCCTGATTTTATTAGAATTGAGGTTGAGTTCTTCCAGACTGTCGCTTTTGACGGCTGGGTCTGAGGTCAAATCATTACTAGAGAGCTGAAGATTTCTCAATTTGGGAATTATCCTCATGTCAAACTCCACATTCCAGATTATATTCCCATTGAGGAAGAGTTCCTCGAGTTCTTCGAGACTGTCACTCTTGAAGATTCGAACTGATTCCACTGCACATTGTTGGAGCGAGAGGATCCTCAGTTTGGGTGTTTCCCATCTATCGAACTCCACATTCGTTATTTTATTTGAACTGAGGTCGAGTTCTTCCAAGCTGTCGCTCTTGAATGCTGGGACTGAGGTTAACCCAGGTATATTGCCTTTTTTGTTTTAGGCTGATTCTTTTCCATTTTGGAAGTCTCCTGCAAGTAGAGAGAACTTGAAAGATAAAATTGTTCTAGGAAAATAATAATACGCCTCGAGGGCGTTTACCTCAAACTTGCATTTTTACTGAATTCAACATCACGTCAGCTATGCGTATGCCAAATTTCACCTTTTTAGTTCTGCCTCATTCGATAGGACAAAATAAATTCTTCAAAACGTCACCTCCCCCAAAAAATATGCCTTCAGATGATGTATCTAGAACTTGAACTTTTTTATGAGCTTTCCATCTTAATTGGCACGTTTATGCCAAAATTAGCTTTCCGTGTCCCTACGTTTGACTGAAGCAAAACAATAATTTGAAAGCGCCCTCCGAGAAATATGTGCCTTCACGGATTTTGCCTCCAAAGTCTTAGCTTTCTGTACTCAGTGTCCCAGTAGGTACTTAACTGTGAAGTTTCAACTTTCCATCTTTTCAAGAACATTGTTAGAATTGCCATCAGTCACTCATTCGCGATCGTCAACAACAGGGGTCCGGAACCTATGGCTCATGAACCAAAATTGGCTCACGAGCCGAATATGTGGGCTCATTGACACATGGCTGAAAAACATGGTTGTTCCTCATTTTCTCCTGTATCGAAGAATGCCTGCTGCCAACCTCAGGAAAATTTATGTCGTTTTGAAAATCTTTCGCTCAGAAGCACTTAGCTCAATCTCAATTTGCCTCACATGGCCAAAAGGATTCCAAAGTGGTCTTCAAAGTGATCCGAAAGTTTCTGACCTAGTGGAATTAAAATAGAGCCGTATGTTGATTTAATTGCATTCCACAGGTTCAAAAATATAGAAACCAACTCCAACAATATTACTTGACATGATTTCCTCGGACCCGCAGAAACCTCGGATCAGCGTCCCGAAGTTCACAACCTACCGACGGATGACATTCTGCGTTGGTTTCTCACTCCACTGAGAACCCCGAAAATAGTTGCTGCCCGATTTATTGGGGTTGCGCTGTCGCAGAGCACTCTGCTGGAACCTTTGCCATAGGTGTTCCAGGAGTTCAGAATCAGAAATTTCATTGGTAACGTATTCCTCCAAACTAATATCTCCTCGATGGCGTGGAACTTTAAGCCATCGGTGTGGCATGAAGCTCCGTCCTGCATCAGCACAGCTTTTTCTTGGTCTAAGCAGAGCACACAGATCTTCATGTGGCCCGTGTGTATAGTGAGGATATTTTCACTCTGACTGACATTGAATTAAGTGATATTTTGCGTGAGTGGGTCACAAACTTTCAGAACACCCTATATATACTGTATGTTTGATTCTCACATGATTCCACCAGACCGTAAATTTTGACCGATGGTCTTCTTCATGAAAAATCCATGTGCATGTCAGAACGTGTTAATTCGTTATATTCTGTGGGTTCCGATTCTTTGGTTCGTCGAAAACCAATGGAATTCTTTTTGTCTGAATTCTGATCCTCTATAGGTTTACAGCGAATTTGGTGCCTCTGAGTACTCTTGTAAACTGCAAAAAAAGGTTGTGTTCGCATGCTATATACTATTTTGAAATAATAATATTTCTCTGATCATTTAATGCTTTACTATGAACGACTTTAATGACGTTACGGCATGAATGATCGGACTTTAACTCCAAGGCGAGGTGGAGAGAATGAAATGATGCAAATGCAGTAGGTTTGGGTCTCATTAGGACAAGCGAAGATCGTGTTGCTTATGCCCTCATCGAATTAGCAAGGCTATTTAGAATCGACTCATCTCAGACTGTTTCTATCGTTCAGTCACTGAGGATAGACATTTTTTCTGCGATTTCGTCGGGTAAGGTTCTATCAAATTGGTCTCATTTCCCCTTCATTCAAGAAAATGCAGAAAGGAGCAGGAGACAGTTTTGCATCTCAGGCACTCTCCTCCAAGGGTGAGAAAACCATCTCCCTTGCAAATGTCGCAAATCTCGACCGCCAAATGCATATATTAGTTTGCCAGTAAGATACACTTCTCTGTGAGCCTCATCTACTGGAATTGAACTGGAAGATACTCTGCTTTGATTTGGAACCGTAATCGCAGGCTTCCCTAAGAAAATTTCAATGTGAAGACCGTCATTGTTCACAAGAAAATACGTTAAATGTCTAAGGAATTGGGAAGACGTCGGCGCCATTGAAGGCGCGAAGTGTCTTTTTTCTTTCCATCAAGCTGCTTCAGTATTGAGCGGTTTTGAGAGCTCCACTCCAATAAGAAATTTCAAGGGGCATTATTAACTAAATTTGGAACTATTTTATCCATGTAAGATAATTGGAATGCATTATCAGCTTCATGCAGTTGCCTGATTTTGCATCAAGTTGATGCATCATAAGCGTGGATATTACTCTCAACAGATGAACCACCACATTAGCTTGCTGAAATTTTCTCCAGAGATATCAGTCAACTTCTTGAATTTTGGGATTGCATTTCAATAGAACTGATCATGGAATTCCCCTTAGGAGTTCTTTTATGCATTGAAAATGGAAATATGCCTTAGCACCGGGAAAAATGATTTAAATTCACATTAATTTCAAGGAAACGACTGACCATCTGTAAACTGTAAGCAGTTGTTTCGCTTTGTTCCGAGTTGGATCAATAAACATTAGAAACTGCTTTAAAACGTGCAAGAAGAAATCGTAGGTGGAACCCCTCAGAATCAATTCGATTGTCTTCATGAAATTGAATATTGACACGATGGAAACAATGGGCGACCTGTTCCGCTTTTGGGATCCACGTACTAGCCTCTCTGATGAAAACTATGCGAAGGTCAAGAAAATGATTCATCAATCACTGAGGATGTGGGAGCATCTCAGACATTAGCTGAATGAGTGGTGGTCATCTGAAGAAAGTCGATCATATTTGATTCAGAATTATGTTGTCATTAAATCATGCCTGCTCAGTGTATCAATTAAAGTGTTATGTTAAAGTTCTAGTCTTCTTTTTGTGACATATTGGGAACTTATTGGAAGCGTTTGGTTTACCTAAAAGTTTTCTCCAGAGGAAGAACCAGAACTACATTACAGGTGGAATGGGAATGGTAGGGACATCGCCTTATTTCACTGAAAGGCGTTGTGTGGTATATGATTGGAAAAAAATAACCTGTAGAAACGAGGATGTAGACTCACCAGGGCACATCGTAAGGCCATGAGGTCACCTTCAATGCTGAGAAAATCTCCAGATCGGACCTCACATTCGAACAATCTACGGTCACATTGTCAATCGAATATTTCGTGCACTTGCAAGGTTCTATGGATTGAGTGGGGCATTCAAAGGCACCAGCCAGCAAGGAGGGGAAGAAAAGGAAGACGATGGTCAACAATTGTATCATTGCAGGATTCGCTCTGGGAGAGCGGTAGATTATGGCCTGTGTTGTCGCTTCCCGTCTGCGTTCTTTCTTCTCAGATGATGGAAGTGGATCTACGTGGGTTCCACAAGTATTCCTGCTGGTACGGAAGAATACTTCTACACATGACATGAACCGTGCCAGGAATACTTTTTACTGGAAGTGATGTCGACCGATATCAATGAACACATTTTTCTTCATTTTGCGATTCTTGCAAGAACATGCTACCATTTTCTGCTCAGTCGAGAATTACTGTTGTTTCAAGAAGGAGTAATCAGCAAATGAATAATTCCACAAAAATGATGCGTTATTTCAATTAATATCGGCGTCAAAAAGAAACGTTATAACAATGTAGGGCTCCCCGCATCGTGAGAGCTGTGTTGGCCTTATATATGCCCGTTGCTGAACAAGGCAACATGACCTGAGCCTTATTAGCGTTTACTCGCCAGTAACTCGAATAAATATGCTTAGTCAAGTTTTCTCTATGCCATATGTAAAGTTAAGTTAATATTTCCATTGGCAAAAATTGCATTCGTTCTACTGGTGCCATGCCGACTACGAAAACCATAAGAGCCAAAAGTGAATGGAGCAACATAGGGACCAGACTATTAAAATCCTTCAAGAGCGCATTTGATATTTTTAGAAGCAAGAGAGAAAGATTCTTAATGAATCGGAAATTTTTACTGGGAAGTGTTAGAAATTTCGAAAGATTGTAACATTGTATTTTTCCACACTACTTTATTTTTAATTTGAATGACTGCCGCTTTGTATTCAGACAGAAACTTCAGAAATCATTTTGAGTAAGACTCAGAGTAAGAGATGATGTGCATGGATCTACTCCTGGGAAAAATGAAGACGGCCTGGAATACATCTTTCGGGGCAGAAAAATGAGAGATGATAACTTTGAACTCACCTGAAGAAATCCTTCGGCTCCGATGGGTCTGGAGTTCGCCTGGAGTCAACTTTTCATGGGATACTGCTCCATTTCCCTTTTCTCATTCCCTCGTGAGAAGGAATGTTGCTTTATCTGAGAATATCCGTTTGCAGTTCCTGTTCGCGCGAGATGAGACGTTTCCGCTGATTTCCCTCCGAACCTCCTTTGTGATATGAAACACCAGCCGACCCGTGGAAGACTTCCGCGAACTCTTCGGCAAGAATTCTCCAACTCATTCGGCGACCCTAAAACTCAGTCACTATAGGGAGCAGCCAATCTTTCCCGTTCCTTTCCTGTTCCCATGCATGACCCTTGGAGTCCCCTTTCATCCTGCTAAAGGAAGGACGATTTCCACGCCGGATTGAGATCTTCGCCCTCATATTTATCGGCATCCCGACCCCCCTATTGATCGAAGCTCCGTTCTCGCATTGATCTACACTTTTTTCTATTGCTCACAACCCTGTCCGCATGGTCTCTAAAGTCTATCTTCCATCACTTTTCAGGCAAGCCTATGAATGCAAAATACGGATATAGCAACAAGATGGTAATGACACGACCAGCGGCGTCCTCGCCATCCAAGAAAAACCTTCCTGTTCTAGCGCACATAGATGGGATCTCGCCGCTTTCACCCGACGGAGATACTATCCTTCGCGCGGAGGAAAGGAAAACAGGAGTCCAAGTGCTCTACGTAGATTTCCCGCGTGAAAGTTCGTATCGAGGAGTGAACACCCCTTAGTTAGGGGAGAGGGGGGGGGATGCGCAAGGCAAAGAATGACTCTCTCCCATTCTTAATAACGGATCCGACAGTCGCGAAGGCCGGAGAGATAGTGTGAGCTTGAGAACGTAAGACTGGCCATGTATCCTTGGTATTGGAAAAGCGTTGACTTTTTCAACCTGTTAGCAATTAAAACCTATTAGCAATTAAAAGCAAATTAGCACTTTGGTGTAAATTGCTAATGTGAACCCAACCATTCATGAAGGGAAACATCCGGTCCCCAGCTTAATCAAGTTCGACGTATCTGGCCTAGGCTAAGCGTGTAATGTTGTCCGGAATGCACGAATTCGGTCAGCGACGTTCCAAGGCTGTAGGCAGCAGCCGCTTGGACATTGTACATCTTGCGCATCTCCCCTCTGTCTTCCCCCCTTCATCACGAGGTGTTCACGCCAATGATACGGACTTTAATTGAGCAGCGTTCTCATCCTGCATCAATTGCAACCCTGCGCGTGTCGTTCGTAAAGTCCATCTCTACCACTTTTCACGTAGACCTATGAGTGAAAAGTACGCTTGAGATAACGGAATGGTTAATACGCGGTGGACGGCGTCTTTTAGATTCAAGGGTTAGGGCTCCTATTCTATCCCATCCAGATGGAATCCCGCTGCTTTCATCCTCGGGAGTCACTCTCCTTGCGAGAGTGCCGATCGAGACGAGGACGCGGTTCTCATCGATAATGGAGCCGAGATACCGATTAATATTCACTGGATGCACTAACACTAGATGGCGTGTTTTAAATATGGCGCCACCCATGACTTGGGGGAGTCGCAAAGAGGGAGGAGAATAGAACA